AAACTTCGCGACTATCATATAGCCACTGACGAAGCTCCTCGGAAGTAACGGGCCTCTCCAATCGTGGTCATCACAGTGCTGCGACGCTTTCACAATGCTCCGTCGTTTGTTGACGTCGCCTCCCATACTCCGCCACTACGACCCTACGGCCCCTACAGAGATTTCGACATATGCGAATTCTTTCATTCTGATCCGCAATGTGCGCACTCTGGGGTATAAAAGACTTACCACCTCATTCACTAACGGTACTTTCGGCATGGCATGTACCGCTACGTGCGGAAATTCGTTCGCTCCTGCGTAGGTTGTCAGTGCCGAAAACTTCAACGCATCTGCCGTCGTTAGGTCTGCAACCTCTAACTTGCCCTGCCAGGCCATTTGGGCCCGTTGGCATCGATTTGTATGGGCCATTTCCACTAACGTCGGCTGGTAACCGCAGGGCCATTGTCGCTGTGAACCACCTCACGCGATACGCCGAAACGGCCGCTCTCCCCGCGGCTACAGCGAGAGATGTGGCCTCCTTCCCGCCCCAACGATTCATGCTGCCACACGGTCCACCCCAGGAACTGCTCAGTGATCGATGCTGCGTCTTCCTGTCTGAAGTCGTCGAAGCCATTCTCAAAGAGTGCAACGTTGTTCACCGCAAAACTGCTGCTGACTACCCGCAGATGAATGGCCTCACTGAACGCTTCAACCGTACGCTCGGCAACATTCTCTCCAAGTACGGCGCCACCGATCACACAAATTGGGAGGCTATTCTACCCTTTGTCACCTATGCATATAATACCGTTTCTCAGAGCGCTACTGGCTTTTCACCTTTCTTTTTATTATATGGAAGGCACCCGTGGCACACCATCGACACGATACTTCCGTACAAGCCAGATCCGCCTGAGTGGGTGCCTATTTCTGCTACAGCCAAGCTTGCTGAAGAGTGTCGAGAGCTTGCAAAGACCTTTACCGCGCATGATCAAGAGCGGCAAAAAAGCATTCGCGCTTACGCCAGCCAGCACTACTGCGCCCACGTTCCTCCCTGGAGAGCACGTCTGGCTCTCGATTCCTACCACTGCAACGGGCCTATCTTCAAAACTATTGCCCAAATATGAAGGCCCCTACCGTGTCATCGAATTCACTTCCCCTGTAAACTACTTGATCCAACCCATCGAACCATCATCGGACATGCGCCGTCGAGGACGTGACATTGTCAACGTGGAGCGCCTCTAGGCATACCATGACCTGCTCATAGTAACCAGCTGTTAGCTCGCCAGGTGGCTTCCATTTCGTACCCAAGGTAGCTGTGGCAAAGCCTTCGAACAGTTGGTCGTCCTCTCCAGCGCCTTCTAGTGGGTAGTTCTTTTCGTAAGAATGAGAGCAGCTCGTGCAGAGAGTCGGTCCCCGCATTGACTGTCGCTGTCATGCATCATCGCCGAGTGTCTGCCATTAAACGTCTTAACAGTTTGTATAACTTAAGAGGTTGGCCATGCATTTAAAGGCTTTATTTCCTGTTTCTTTCAGTTGTTAGCTGCCACGATATTGCTTTTATCGTTGTAATTGTTAAAATGTAAGCATATTTCTGATACCATAGGACGTGCACGCATGGCAATTGTTTATTACAATAGTAATGCACATACACCCTTCAACTTTATGCTGGTGTATTCTCTTATAACAAATGTTCTCTTGCTTAGGGAAGAGATAAGAGAGTTGATTTGCTTGGTCTTGAGCATTCTTATGCCGCTGCAATACTTCAATAGAGGAGATCAGAGAGACATCTTATTATTTATAATGTACTAGTGAGCATGCATAAACCTAGACGAGCTTCATATTAAGGTTCACTTTAAGGATAATCAAAGTATAGCTGGGACTGGATGTAACAAATTGTCAACAGAGTTATATCCTTGTGTTTATTAGGTTCTCTGCTGAGTGGTCGCATTTATCTGTCTCACAGTCTCTCCTTGTATCAGATTTTCCACCTCATCATCATGTAGCACTGATGGTTACAAAAGTGATACAAAATTAATAATAATTTTATATTGAATTAATAGTTTTCTTGAAATTTGTACCATAAGGAGGCCAGTTATAAAAAAAAATTGGATTTGTTACTGGCTGACCAATGTGAAAAGACCCACAGATTGCTGTTGTGACAACCATATTTAAATATAAACAAGTAAAACTTGAACTGCTGGTGAGCTTTGCTATGACTGCCATTCGTTCTCGAAGATTCTTTCAACTTTTTATTTAAGCAGCTCATGTGTGCTAGATACTGCAGTTCCTTATTGTGACCGGATCTGTGGTGTATATCCTGCATTGTATCGTGCGGTGTTGTGTAGCCCTGTTTTCTTTTTGAAATCTTTTTTCTAGATTTAAGATTTTGGCAAGAATAACACCTGCAGTTTCTGGAGGTAGCAGGTTGGGCTTTGAAGTAGTGAGCAGCCGACTGGATGAGGTGCTAGTCAGCTGTTGAATTAATCCTGTGTGGGATCCGTTTCACAAAGTACACATTCATGCACTAGAGCGCATTCAGTCGATAGCTGCAAGATTTGTTCTGGGAAAATATGACTGAACTGAAATCTTATAATGTATGAAAGGAGAACTTAATTGGCAATACTTACAAGATCGAAGACGTAATCTAAGATTGAAACTATTTTATTCGACTTATAACAAGAAAACAGGCATTAATCCTTCAGAATATTTAAAACCAGCGCATTATCATTCCTCTCGTCATGACCACAAACTTGAAGTATGGCCATACAACCCCAGAATGGATCTGTTTAAGCATTCTTTTTTTCCGCAAGTCATTGTCGAAAGGAATATGTAACCAGCTGATTTAGTTGGCCGCAAGACTGCGGATTCTTTCTATGAGGCACTGTGCCCCCCACAATAATGCCTAAATAGCGCTGCGGGTAATCTTTCAAATAAAAACATAAATAAATAACGTGCATATTAACAGGAATTCAGTTTCTAAGCCAGGCCTCATCTTGTAGTTTGACTTTGAGCTCTGATAGCAGTTTTACAACTGCAAAACATATTCGTCACACATTAAATTGCAGACAGTATCTCTTTACTTATCTGATGGATCTGTGCTGAAATGAGTTACCACATCCGTAGTCATTTTGCACATCACTAAATTCAGCCCACACTCGAATATAAAATATTAGCAAAGCATTGCTACTTTCTATTCTCACTCTGGAAGGTTCTATTGTTGAGATGGGTGGCGCATTGCATGCCTGCAGATGACTGGCATGGTAACAATAATGTAAAAGCAGTAGCTCTTCGGTACAACACTTTAGTGAGAAGCAGTTATATTTCCATTAAACAAAAATGCACTTCTGGGATGAGCTTGATTTGATTGATATGTGGGGTTTAATGTCCCAAAATCACCACATGATTATGAGAGACGCCGTAGTGGAGGGCTCCGGAAATTTCGATCACCTGGGGTTCTTTAACGTGCACCCAAATCTAAGCACACGGGCCTACAACATTTCCGCCTCCATCGGAAATGCAGCCGCCGCATCCGGGATTCGAACCCGCGACCTGCGGGTCCTGGGATGAGCTTTCATTAATCATAAGGCTACTGAATAAAATGTTTGCACAGCTTAGTTGGAAGTAAACAAATAAGGAAATAAATAAATAAATAAAAATATATAATTTCTGATGATTTCATTTTTTGCCTTATCTGGTTGTTTTGCAATGCCGCCTGGTAGTAAAATAGTGTTATAACAACACCTGCTAGAAAAAAAAAAACTATGCCTGGTACATGAGCTGCAAAAGCGCCACCCAGCCCTTTCTGTTATCCTACTTTCCACTCGGTACAGTCACTAAGAGCCTCTCACGGCGACTTCTTGAAACATGAAGCGGCAACGGCGGTAACTCTAGCAGCTGACGCAATGCGCGTCGGTGAAATTATTGCCATTGTTGCTTAAAGCAGCGGGGGCATAGATCAAACTAGAGCTGAGCGCAACGCATCTCAAACGCGCTAGTGGCGCGCGGGGTCTTGAACTAGTTGAAAATGATGGCTGATAAATAAGTAGACATCGACAGAAACAGACACATAAAGCAGTGTGCTACAACGACCGTTCTTCGGGAGCTTCCCTTTTCCCCTTGCTTTTATGCATTCACGGAAGGAGTGATAGGTCATTGAGCCGCGAGTTCTTATTGTCTAGAAATATTGTTTTACTGTGTGCCCAAATCCTCGTCCAGCCTCAGCATGCTTGACTATCCTCAAGGTACTTTTGGACAGCAGTTTGCATGCCCAGTGGATAAATGTGATTTCGAGAGACTATGTGAGTGCCAACAAGCAACCCTCCGGCAGTGTGCAGAAAGGGGTAATGAGAGGAACGTTGCCGTCAAGCTGCTTGACAGGAAACCTCTGTCGCAAAAGGTTCTTAAGCTCCAGCTGAACATGCTGCAAGGAAATGACTGGCACTTCTGTAGCCCACGTTGTGAACCCACAATCAAACGGCCGCACAAAGCAGCCAGCTATGCCACTCTACCGACACAACGTTGCCAACACTGTCGCACTCGCTGACTGCAGCAGTACAGTAGCTAGCACAACCACGTGGCAACCGCTCGAAATGCGCGGCAGCGTGCTTCTAATGGCAAAGCTAGCAACGTCTCAGGCATAGTTCTTTTTGAGAGGCATTGATTATACAACAGCATCTACTGCATCTTATCTTGACAAGTAGTTGGAAGTTAGTTAAAGAGACACTAAAGGCATTTATAAAGTCCACGTTTATTGTTGAAGTGGCAGTCCAGAAACCTCGTAGTGCTACTTTTGTTCCAAGGAAAGGCTTATTCTGAAATAAAATCACGTTTTAGTGGTCCAGATTGGGTTGGTGCACTTCAAATTACCTGCCTCAAGAAGCAGACCATCTTCCATAACTGTTGCCGTGCACAACATTGCCAGGTCTTTCTGCGCGGCCGCCGACACTAGTAGCAGCAGGACGAAAGCAGCGGAAGCCACGGCAGCAACAGCGGCCATTGACTAATTTTCTGCCATTGGCTCCAATATGGCAGACATGTGTTGGTTCAACTGGGCCTCGCTAGATGGTACGACCTGTCCAGTTTAACTACGCGAAAATTAAATTTAACCACTTGCGCCATTTCCCATAGTAACGTCCAGCAGTACTTTTTTACGTGAATCAAACAAACGATCAAGCAGCATTTTATTGCATCCATTGATGCATGGAAGACTCTTTATTTAGTGTGGCTAAATCAAATACTAGTGATTAATTGTAGGCGGTTCATCTGGTGTCATCGGGATCGTTTTGAGAATGTCCTACGGCGGTGCATGTATTCTTGTGCATTTACCTTAATTTCTCGGTAAGTAGGGCATTGCTGTTGGTAACATTGTAATTTTAGATGTCATACATTGAGCTTTCACTCCGACGTAAATTGTTATATGACTTTAGTGTGCCTTTAAAAATAATTAGTGTGTAACTTTACTAGTTGATTAATGATTGATATGTGGGGTTCAACGTCCCAAAACCACCATATGATTATGAGAGACACCGTAGTGGAGGGCTCCGGAAATTTGGCCACCTGGGGTTATTTAATGTGCACCTAAATCTGAGCACAGAAGCCTACAGCATTTCCGCCTCCATTTGAAATGCAGCCGCCGCAGCCGGGATTCGATCCCACGACCTGCGAGTCAGCAGCCGAGTACCTTAGCCACTAGACCACTGCGGCAGGGCTAACTTTCCTAGTGAAAAGAATACTTCACTTTCATGCCCAAACTATGAAGAATGGTCAGTAAATGCGTCATGATACTTTGATTTGTGTGTTCTATAGTGATCAGTCGTTATTATTTTATAATTATCTATTTATCCTGAATTCACTCATATTTTTCTTCGTGTAAATGGAACAAATCTCAGGCTAGACATATAGTGCATTCCCATCTTGGTTATATTAACTCCGAGCAAAGAAAACTAACGCATAGATTACAGACGTAGGCACTTCAAACATCCAGTCGTACATGCTGGAGCCCTTCTTCAATATGGTCATTTGCAACATGAATCTGCAAGATCGAGCTAAAGTAAGACATTTAGCAGGTTCATTCAATTCAAACCTCAATGTATCTTGCTCATTTATAGCAACTGGTGCACATGACTAGCACAAATATATATTTTTTTGTGCACAGTTGGTTTCAAAATGCTTGAACAGGTTAATCCCTACTGTTATTGAGCTTTAAAAAATAAAGGTGCCTAACCAAAATTGCTAAGGTTTCCAATGAGTTTCAAAAACAATGCATTTTGCACAACATTATGCATATGCACACAAAATTTGGCTGAGACTGAGTCAGATTAAGTAGAGGTATTCTGTTACACAAGCGCTGAAAAGAGCCTAAGATCAATACAAAACAAATGATCACAAAAGTTCTAAACATGCTTTTTGCTGTTGCACATGGTAAATTTTCATGAAATTAAGTCAAAGTTCGGATTACTTTTCACAGACGTTATGCAAGAGTTCGATATTCTTTCTGTGGTACCTTCAGATATTGTGCGAGATTATTTTCCTCCCCCGGGCTGGCTTCCTTTGCTGTACCATAATTATGAGGTTTAACTTCCACTATCTGTACACCCAACATTCTTTTGATTTTTCTCTGGTGTGTCTGGTTAATCAAAATGGTTAATCAAAATGAACCAGTGCTCGAGTTGGAAGAACGCCTAGCTTTTGTAGAACCCCCTCAAAGCCCTTGTAGCATTTATTAAAACATAGTAAAGCTATATGCCATTGCCACAGAATTAGTCGTTCCCCCGACAGTGCGGGGTTAGCTGGGCTCATTGTTGAAAATTATACGATTAGGTGGCTCAGTCATAACTCATGCTTGCTCATTTTTAGATTACTACTTACTGTCTAGGCAAAACCGGTGTTTGTGACCCTCATCAGTTGAGCAAGAATATGACACTTCTGTAACTCTCATGTTCTGATTAGAATAAATTTCTCTAGTGTTCTAGACATAGAAACAGTCTGTCTGATCTACTTTTTAAATACGAAAATAGATTACAGAAGTGTAATATTGGTACGAAAATCTAAAAAATAATCATTTTAAAAGCAAGCACAACTTTTCAGCTCGTATATCCCCTCCAGGTGTGTCAAACTGGCATAACATAATTTCAAGGCACTCAGTATTACATTACAAGAACTAAAATGAAAGAATGTGTTGTTATGTGGGATTTTCATTAATTAATTTTAATTAGATTGTGCTTCAATGCCTAATTATTATGGATTCAGTCAGCTTCAGTCAAGCCTTGCATAAAAAGGACCACAATATCGGGCTCAAAACGTACGTACGGTGTTTTTTATTGTATTTGTTTTAAACAAAGAAAAAAATACTGTTGATATTGGTCCGGGAGTGCAGCACATTGCTTGATTGTCGAACATAGTAGTGTCTCTGTTAAAGAACCCCGAGTGGTCGAAATTTCCGGAGTCCTCCATTACAGCGTCTCTCATAATCATACGGTGGTTTTGGGACGTTAAACCCCACATATCAAATCAAATCAATCCAGCAAAGTGATCAACTTCAGTAGTACACAGCACAGTGAAATTAAGTGACTGCTAGTTGACCTCTGGAAGCTTGCATGAATGTGCACATCAAGTTTCAAGCCATTTGAAGAAACACGCGGTGCACTATGCACCTCCAAATTTGATGTCTACATTTGTGCACGCCGCCACTGAAGGGGGTATCTTCTTAACAAACTAAGTTTCTTGCATTTAAGAGCACAGCTTGTTAGTAGCTTTGATTTACACTTGTTTCTACAGCGTGCATTTAAATGCAGCAGAGAACTGCAGCAGAGGGTATGTTACTATGTTAGAGCCTTACAGCGTGGATGCTATAATTTAAGCTGTTGTAAGGCAGGCTGGCATTAACATGTACTACTTCAGCACATTTGAATGCATGTCCTATAGTCATGTACAGATTAGGTATATCTAGCTTTAAAGTAATTGAACTTGCAAACAGATTATGCAGATAATTGAACATTGTGCAGATTTTTTTTCCTTGACTCTCACTTTGATTTGGCATCAGCTTTTTATTATGCTCATATACCATTTACATTCATTATTGTTATCGTTATGTGACTTTTTAATTTTTAATTTTAAGATTTTTTAAAATTCAGTCATGCTACTGTAAAGGTTTTATCATTAGAGGTCCATCATTTCAAGGCTTACACTGAGTAGACATATGGTCCATTCAATTCGTGTGTCACCTATTTTACGAGCTCTCTGTGAAATTTTATACACTTGCACTGCAAGTTCGTATTTATTAAACATAATTACTGAAGTTCACTTTCACTAATCTTATTGTGCGATACCTTTCATGTGAGGAATGAGATAAAGGGAAATATAAGAGGCTAGTTAATAATGTCAGATGGCTAGAGCAAGATTCATGAATGCAGGTCAGCATTAAAAATAAAACTGATAATCGAGCGAGCTAAAAGTGTGAACTGTTCACTCATGTAACAACCAACAAGGCAGCGACCTGTGGTAAAGTTTTCTGCCCAAAACGTTGCATTTGATGTATGAGTGCTGCAAATGCCTGCTGACCTACAATATATTATTGACTGTCAATATGCACCTACAAAGTTAGCATTAAATATTAAAATGCTTTTGTACTGTGTTTCCATGTATTAAATTCCAGTGATAACTTTTCTTGCACCAAATAGTGATGTTCCCACTCTCTGATCTCTGCCTTTTTGCCTGTGGAAACAGTAGCCAGAATGTTAGCAAAAAGTTGAATGCATAGGGTGTCTATTTGTGTGGGTTCTTTGGATTAAAAGAAAAAAATTGTGGGCCGTTCATTGAAAATGCAGCAAGAAGAGCATAAACTGTTATCCAAACAGTGGAATCTGTGCTAGTGTTATATTGGGTTCCTGCATATTATCTCTTGTCTAAGTGAAGCATGAGCATTTATTGGAAAAGCCATTTTATGCCTTGGAGATTGCCGGCAACACTATACATTGCCAGCACTAATTTTCTTTTATCACACCTTTTGAATGCAATTATATAAGTCTGTCTGCGCAGACTGTTTGCAGGCTCCTAGAAGATAGGCGCAAATTAAATGTGGCACAATGTTGTTGGAGTTTACTGACAAAAGATACAGGGCTTTACATTGCCAATATTTGAATCCCTCTTCATCACTTGTTTCAATGGGTAATTTTCTTTTTCTCATATAACCGATAGCTCATTGACAAGGAAGTTCTAGATATCAGCTGCATGCTTCATTCTCATTAACTTGAATGGTATGAATAAGAAACTGTATTGTAATTTTTTGTTCGTATGCACACGAAATTTGCCTTTCTGAGAAAAATACATAATTGTTAAAAAAAAAAAATCTTTTTCATGAGGGACATATTTTCTGCAGAAATACAGAACTAAAGAGACATTATAAAAATAAATTGAGGGTACGGCATTATTGTTTAATATCATTGTTACCCCTGTTGTATTTTGTTTTTCCTTAGTAAATGCAAATTGAGCCAACAACGATGTCCTCTCAAGCACCCTCATGTTTCTCTTGGGTTAGTCAGGAACTGTAAGGTGTGCTTACAGTATAATATAACTGCTTAGTGTAAATTAACTTGTAGAATAAATTAAAATTCTGCACTGCTGAGCAGCATTTCTCTTTTGTAGATTGAAGGGGAAGTAGTACCAAGCATGGAAACTTGGAGCGAGTTTGTATGACATCACGGAATAACTTCACAGTGCCTAAAACAAGGAAAGATGAATAAGAGAGGACACCGCACGTGCTGACTTGAATAACAAGTCACTGTGGCATGACACCAGATCTCTGCATTATATTTAATTCACTATTCAGCAGACTCAGTCAAGGTTGGCTGACAGATGCCCCACCTTTTCTTTGTATTAGAAAGGCTTCGACAATCTCCTGTGTTAGTTTATTGTTGTATCTGAAAATGACAGAGGCATCATTCATGGGTTTTTGTGAGTTGTCTGTGCTAATGTGTGCTCATGTGCGCCATCTAATGTGGCTTACCTTTTTCGCTTGTCTTTGTGATAAATTCAATTGCAGGTCGGTAGATGTGGGGTCCCCTCTT